CCTCCCAATCGCCGCGGCCGTCCGCAAGGACGAGGGTGATCAAGCGCCTCTTCGAAAACCCCTTCCCTCAACTACTCCCTCTTACCCCGTCCCCCCTCCGTCCCCCCGCGGCCGCGGGAGATCAAACGAGCAAAGGAGGACGAACAGAAAATCAGCTCCCCCAAAGGGGCAAAAGCAAACGCCGGGGGGCGGACGATTAAAAAAACAGTTCCCGGCGGCTGAATTCTATGAGTCCGCCCCACGCAATCCTTTTGGATTGCTATGTTTGAGTAGCTCCTGTGGGGGGGGGGGGGGGGGGGGCACGCCCGACCTGAAGCCGGGGCCGGGACGGGACCGCACCGGGACGGGAGCCGCCGGGGGGGGGGGCTCTCTCCGCGAGCCCGCGGGTCTGGGGAGAGAAGGCGCGCCGGGCGCCGCGGCCCAGCAGAGGGGGTGCTGTTCGGGAGCGGCCCCAAGAGGGGGGGGTCCAAGGCGGGGCTCGAGGGGAGCAGGAGGAGGAGTTGGAGGAGGCGGGAGAGCAGGAGTGTGCGGTGGTGGAGGGGGGAGAGAAGGGGGGAGGGGCTGATGCAGAAGGGTAGAGGAGGGGGAGGAGGAGCCGCATGCGGTGGTAGAGCGGCGAGGGATTGGGGAAGGGGGAGAGCAGAAGGAGGGACGAGGGAGGAGGAAACAAGACGACGGAGGGAGTGCAAATCATGACCGGCGGCATGTGCGCGGCCCAGCGGGGGGGGCCAGGGACGTAACGGAATAAGAAGAGGCGCCATGGAATCCGGGGAGGCATCATGGCCCCCGCCATGATATCCAACCCCCCCTAGTCATCACCCCCCTCTGTGCCGCCCCCGAGTTGTCCCGATCCGAGGCCTCCTGACTCAGGGTTCTCAGTTAGGGGCCTCCCAGATCTAGCTCGGGCATGTCCCCGTACAGGCGGATCTGGGGCGAAAGTAAAAGATTGTCAAAACAACACCCCAGAAGGGCCAAGAATAGTCAGAAAGTCGTCCCCTGACTATTGTTTGCATATTTTTGAATTTTCCTCATGTAGAGGGACAGGCCGGACTTAATCCTAGATGGGGCCCGAGTAGATGGGGTCGGAGGATCGCGCCGCATCGCCGATGCATCGGCGATGCAGCGGCGACGTCGGCGATACATCGGCGCCATCGGCGCAGAGAAAATTGGGCTCACCATCGAGCCGCATCGCCGATGCATCGGCAATGCGGCGCGATCCTTCGACCCAGGCTGCTCGAAGTCATGTGGGAGGCCTGCCGGACTCTGGGGAGACCAGAAGGTACCAATACTGCTACTCCCTGGGCCTCCCCTGGGGCGCGCTCTGGCCAGAGCTCTGAGGCGAAGTCAGCCGTGGCGACGAGGGCCGTCCCTGGAGGCCCCAAACGGCGAGAGCGAGGCGAGGGCAACGACCACAGTGCATTTTCCTCCTCTTAGACTTAGGTCGGGCACGTCCCCCTACAAGCGGATTTTGGGGCGAAAAATTAAACATACCCAGAAAATACCCTTCACAAAAATACGAAACACACATAGTCCCCAGACTATTTTCTTACTATGTTTGAATACTCCTCCTGTAGAGGGACAGGCCCGACTTACTATCTTAGACTCGGAGTTCTGGGGCGCGATTCCACGAGCGGCTGGCGAGCCTCCTCTGCACAGGGCTCGGGCGAAACCGTGCCTTTCGTTCTCGTTTTGGCTTCGTACCCCTTCGCTCTGTCTTCCTTTAGAGGCCTCCTGGATGGGGTCCAAATAGATGGGGTCGGAGGATCTCGCCGCATCGCCGATGCATCGGCAATGAATCGCCGATGCATCGGCGATGCATCGGCCATGCTCTGGCGACGTCGGCGATGCATCGGCGACCTTGGCGTGTAGAAGATTGGGGCCCGCATCGAGCCGCATCGCTGATGCATCGCCGATGCATCGGCGATGCAGCACGATCCTCCGACCCCGTCTGCTCCGACCCCATCTAGGAGGCCTGGATCCTTCTGCCCTCGCCGCGGCGCGAAATCGGAGCGAAGGACGGCCCTCGAGCTCGCCAGAACGCCGTTTGGCCAGGCCCCGACGTCGTGACTTCTTCACGGCGTCGACCCCCAGAATGGTCTGGACCCGCTCCCCGAGGACCAGCCCTTCCTCCTGAGCCGTTTTCTTGACGTCCCCGAGGCCAGGCAAAGGCCTCTGGAGACCTTCTTGTGGAATCGGCGTAGGGCGACGAGCCCTATACATATCCACTGCTCCTGGCCAGGTCCATCCTGGGCCCAGGAGCGGTGTATATGCTTCCCTAGCCAAGCCAGGAGAGCGTATACACCGCTCCTGGGCACAGGATGGACCTGGCCAGGAGCAGTGGATATGTATAGATCTCGTCGCCCTACGGCGATAGCCCGGGTTATCCGGGAAGAGGGGGGGGAAGAGGGGGCCGGCCGACAACCTAACCTTCGCGCTGTGGGCAGCCTTGCATGTGCCCGCGCCCCCCCCCCACCCCGCCCCTGCACAACTGGCAAGGTCAGTTTCTCCTGAGGGGAGCGGGAGGGCGGGGGGGGCAAGCCCGATCACCCGGTTCATCGCCGGACCCTACAAAAATAGTCTGGCGAAAGGAGGGGATAGCAAATGGGGGGGTTGAAAATCAGCTCACGTAGCTGATTTTCCCGGCGCCTCCCGGCGCTGGAGGCGGCTATGTATCGAGGAATGGGCCCCTCGGTGAGGCCGAAACCAGCTGCGTGCAGCAAATTTCGTAACCCCCCCTTTCCCAATCCCCCCCCTTTCGCCCGGCCCGAGAAAATACCGAAAAACCTCCCGTCGCGTTTTGTTCACAGCGCGAGCCCCCTCTGTCCGCTGGGGCCGAAGCCTCCCGGCGGGCGGGGCGCACGGTGCCGCCTCGGCCGCCGGGAGGCTCCGCCGCGGGCTGAAGCCGCCTCGGCCGCCCTCGCCGAGGGGCCCTCCAGGCCGGCGGCACGCAAGACGCGGCCCTAGGCAAGAGCGACCTTTGGTAGGGAAGACGAGGAGGAGGAAGGAGGAGGAGGAGGAGGAGGAGGAGGAGGAGCGAGGAGCGAGGAGCGAGGAGGAGGAGAGAAGAGGAGAGAGGAAGAGGAGGAAGAGGAGGAGGAGGAGGAGATAGGAGGAGGAGGAGGAGGAGGGAGGAGGAGGAGGAGGAGGAGACAGGAGGAGGAGGAGGAGGAGGAGAAAGAGAAGGAGGAGGAGGAGGAGGAGGAGGAGGAGGAGGAGGAGGAGGAGGAGGAAGGGGTCTGGGACGGTCGTACCGATTCATGGCGCGAGGGGCAAGAGCGGCCCTAGGCAAGAGTGACCTGTGGTGCGGAACCGAACTCTGTACACGGACGCTGTTTCCGGCCCTGCACTGAAGTTTGCGCAGAAAAGCAGATCCTTGGTGTAAACGGGGCCCTGGCGTATACATGTTTCGCTGTTTCCCCGGGAAGCGGATAAAAAGGTGTATAAACCACACCACCCCGACGTCGTACCTGGCCCTCGAAAAGTCCTGCGATTGACGAGCAGCCATGCTCGAGTTTCCGAGTTGGTGCGCGGACTGAGGGGGCGCAACGTGGCCAAATCCAAGCGCGCAAGCAGCCGCTGTCGCATCGCGCTCGCGATCGGGGGGACCCCGATGAACCCGCGAAAGAAGTAACTCTGGCGAAGGGCCACTCTTACGTGCAGTCGACCAGGGCCCTGCCTCAGCGCACACTCGTGGATGGTTCCAGCCTCTGTCGGAGGGGGATGGGGGGTGATCAAAATTCAGCGGCAAGCGAGGGGGGGGAAATGAGAAGAAGGCCTCAGAAGGCGGCGGGACTTCTCAGAAGCCCTCGCGCCGTCTGAGAGGCATTCTCTGTATTCGGTGAAAGCTTAGAAAATTTCACAAAGGCAGGGGGACCTCCGAGCATTCTGAGAAGGCCCGCCCCTTCTCACTTCCCCCCCGGGCGCGCCGCCGACAAATGGTGGATGCAGAAAAAGACCCTCAAGTGACCATTCAGGGCCCCTTTTGGAGCCTGCAAGAGCCAAAAGTGGCCCCAAAGGGCCTCTCTAGGGCCCTCGTCTTCCCCCCCCCCATGTGGGCCACCCCCCCCTTACCACCCCCCGACTCTCGTGGGCGAAATGCACATCCGTATCTGCGGAAACGGGGCTCTCCGCGGACGCCCCGCGCGGAGCGTATCCGTGCGACCGCGAATCCGCGGGATCACGCCCTGGAATCCAAACCGCGAGGTTGCGGATACAGCAGGTTCTTGTCGTGACGACCCGGGCGTTGGTGCCTGACACAGCGCGGATCGTTCAACCTTGAACGATCGGCGGCTTTCCGACCGCCAGATCGCTCTATATTAGCCGCTTCTTGGCCGCTGGCGGCGTTCAACGTTGAACGCCCGCGGCGGATTCACCGCCGCGTCAGCACGACACAAACCTGCCGTACGGATGTGTTCACCGCTCGGGAGATCAGCTAAGACATCCGCGCCAGGAAGAACGGCGGCATCAAAGGTATCGCCTCGACAGCAGTGCGCGACAGGCGGGGCCTGTGGTGGCGGTGTGGTGCCGTCAGTGGTTTGGCATTTCGCCCAAGACATCTCGACAACTCGACCTTGAATCCTCGATGGAAGGGAACCGCGGACGCTTCCGACAGGAGGGGAAACGCTTCGGCAAGGCTTGGATAAACCCAGGATCGGCGGCCACCGACACAGGCTAGGTGTGAGACCCTCATGACGACCATGACATCTATCAGTCCAGTCCTCCCTACATCCTTCCCCGTCCGCTTCCTCCGTCATGGTGGACGAGTGAAAGACAGGGCGAGTCGCTGCAGCGGGCAAGCGTCAAGGCAGTGAAGACCAGGTTGAGGAGGCCATGGGCCTCCAGAGTCCACTGGCCCTGTGCAAAAGAGGGTGCCAGAGGAAGCCGAGGAGCACGGCAGGAGGAGCGAGAGGCGAGAAGGCGAGAGGGCAGGGGCAGGAAGGAGGAGGAGGAGGAGGAGGAGGAGGAGGAGGAGGAGTGAGGGAGGTGGAGCCGAGAGACGCCTTGGAGGACTCGGCCGCCTTTTTGGCCTGGTCCAGTTCCGCGGCGACCTTCCCCAGCTTGGCCCTGGCCGCCGCGACGGGCCCCTTCTCGGGCGCCTGCCCGGCGGAGGAGAGCAGCAGTGGAGGGGCAGGAGAGGCAGGGCGAGAACGGGCGAGGGGCGGCAGCAGAGGCAGAGGCAGCTGAACCAAAGGCGAGAGCAAGTCCGAGGCAGCTCCTGCGGGCCATCCTGCCCTCCTCGGTCGGCAGCCTGCCCAGCCTTCGGCCCGAAGCGCGGCGTCACGAAACCCCCTGGGCACAGCAAACGCAAGCTTAGGTCGGGCATGCCCCCCTACAGGCGGACTTTGGACGAAAAAACGGAAAACACATCAACAATACTCTACACATCTTTATATATATAGAGATATTGCTCTATGCATTAAAAACATAAATCCCTAACCTATGTGTTGACAATGTTTGAATATTCCTCCTGTAGAGGGACATGCCCGACTTAAACGCAAGCCTCCCCAAACCCTCGAACTGCCAGCTCCCGTCCTGCCTGGTTCGAGCACGCTCCGTGGACACGGAACGATCCTGGCAGCCCCACCAACTGCACGGTTTCCCCCGGGGCCGCAGGCGACCCGAGGAGGAGAAGGAGGAGGAGGAGTCGAGCGTGCTGAGGCGCTCTGTCTCCCGCCGACGGAGGAGGAGGAGGAGGAGGAGGAGGAGGCGGAGGAGGAGGAGGAGGAGGCGGAGGAGATGGAGGAGGAGGAGGAGGAGGAGGAGGAGGAGGAGAAGGAGATGGAGGAGGAGATGCAGGAGGAAGAGATGGAGGAGGAGGAGGAGGAGGAGGAGGAGGAGGAGGAGGACGGGTCGCCTAAGCCTTTCGGAGAAACCCTCCACCACCAACCTCTGGGCGCAGGCGGCTCGCAGCACCAGCTGTTCCCTAACCCCGTCTCCCCCCTCCGAGCAGGCCCGACCCCTGCCCGCGGGCCTGGGCGCAAGGAGCCGCGAGGGGTCGGAGCGTCTGTGGTGGCCCGAGATGTCTCCAACATGGCTGTCGGGTAAGGAGGAGGCGTAGCCAACTCTAATGGGACGCATGGCTGGCATGGCCAACTTCAGAAATGGGTGTGAACTGGTCATTGCGGCCGGATCCGTATCAGCTGGTCGGTGTTGCACCCCGCAGCGATTCTTGCTCGAGGACCTGAGGACTGCAAGTTTGGGAGACACGAGTTCTAGCACAATGCGATGAGGTAACTCGACGAAGAAAGAACATGTGCCGCAAGAGCGACGATCAAGTAACGGCTTCTTCGCCGCGGCCAGCGCAGTTGCGACTGGATCCAGGTCGTGAATAGCAAGAGCGACGTGAAAGTGCATTGAACTGTCAAACTTCGAAAACGCCCGTGCAAATTCGCCATTGTTTCTTCGGACTGGTTTATCGTCACACCACCATCGGGGTAGGCCCAATCCTTCACGAGGTGGAACTCACATGCAAGCTGGATGCCTTCGCTGTGCGAGAAACTAACCCACTCTATGTGCGAGCACCCAGAAGGGTTGACAGTGAACTCGTAATTTGCAGCGATTTGGAGTAATAGCGTATTCCCGAGCTAGTGTCAGATCCGCAGATGCGAATGAAATTTTGTAAACTGATCAAATATCGCACAATCGGCCAAAAGATGTTCCAAATTGGCGCGATGTGAGGCCGTACGGTTGCCGAGGGCATTGCTTCCTTTGCACGATGGGAGCTATGGCTTTCCTGTGGCGATAGTACTAAGGACACTTCAGCCGAGCGGGATCCCGCTCAGACTGCGCAAGAAAGGTGCATTGCTAAGCTCCTGGAGAGGTTGAGGGCATCAAGTTTGGGCACGGTGGGTTCGTGTCGTGAAGACCCCAGCGTTGGTTTCGGATTTCGCGAGAATGTTGAACCTTGATCGATGGGCAGCACTTCGATCGCCGGATAGTTCCACATCAGCGGGTTCTGGGCAACTGGTGGGGCCAAACCTTGAACGCCCGCGTCGGGGTCGCTGCCACGTCGGCACCACACAAACTTATCGTAGGGGGGCCTCAGCGTCCTTCCTCTGCGCCTCGTCCCCTTCGGGGCCCCAGCCGCAGACGGCCCGCGCTTGCGAGCAAAGGATGTAAAAACTCCTCCTCCTCATCATCATCATCATCGTCATCATCACCATCAGTATCATCAGCAGCATCATCATCATCGTAATCCTCATCATCAGCATCATCGTCATCATCAGCATCATCAGCATCAGCATCATCGTCGTCCGCAGCATCATCATCAGTATCATCATCGTTCTCATCATCATCACCATAATCAGCATCATCGTCAGCAGCATCATCATCAGCATCATCATCGTGAGCACCACCATCATCATCACCCTCGTCATCGTCTCTGTCGTCGTCATCTTCATTGTCATCATCACCGCCAGCATAATCGGCATCATCGGAATCATCATCATCATCATCATCATCATCATCATCAGCAGCAGCAGCAGTATCAGCAGCAGCATCATCATCACCATCAGCATCATCACTACGCAGCATCATTATCATCATGATCATCATCAGCAGCATCATCAGCATCATCAGCAGCATCAGCCTCATCATCATCCTCATCATAACCACCATCAGAATCATGCTCATCATCATGATCACCATCATGAGCATGATCATCATCATCAGCATCAGCATCAGCATCATCAGCCTCATCATCATCAGCAGCATCATCATCGCCACCATCAGCAGCATCAGGTGCAGCAGCAGCATCATCATCATCAGCATCGTTATCGCCATCAGCACCACCTCATCATCACCATCATCATCAGCAGCAACATCATCATCAGCATCATCGTCATCATCATCGGCAGCATCGTCATCATCATCAGCAGCATCAGCATCGCCACCATCAGCAGCATCAGAAGCAGCATCATCATCATCATCGTCATCAGCATCGTAATCGCCATCATCACCACCATCAGCATCATCATCGTGGGCAGCAGCGTCATCATCATCAGCAGCATCATCAGCCTCATCATCATCAGCAGCAGCATCATCAGCATTATCATCATGATCAGCAGCGTCAGCATCAGCATTAGCATCCTTGTCATCATCATTATCATCACCATCAGCAGCATCATCAGCAGCCTTATCCTCAACAGCAGCAACGTTATCATCATAAGTATCAGCATCATCAGCAGCAGCATCATCATCATTGTCACCACCACAATCAACATCATCATCAACATCCGCATCATCCGAATCATCAACATCATCAGCAGCATCGGCATCCTCAGCACCAACAACATCCACATCCTCCGCCTCCTCATCATCATGGTTCTCCTGACCATCATCAGCATCATCACCATCATCATCATCATCATCATCATCATAATCATCATCAGCATCATCATCATCATCGTCATCATCATCATCAACACCATCATGCGCATCACCAGCATCGTCATCAACATCCTCATCATCCTCATCATCCTCATCATCATCATCATCATTATCATCATCATTATCATTAGTATCATCATCCTCCATTTCTCCCTCCTCTTCCTCCTCCTTCTCCTTTACAAGAAAATCATGGAACGTCCAGGACGGCGAGTTAAGGCACCTCCCGCCAGATACTGCGCCGCAGACGTCGAGCCTCTGATATATGCTTCAAAAGTGTGCACCACCTCCAAAGGGGCCCAAGGGTACACAAATATATCGGCACACATCCCAGGATTCCCCATATTTCTCAATGCTTACTGGATTTCCCTCTTCCCCGCCATTTCCCAAATTTTCCTCTATGCTCCCAATTTCTGATTGAAAACAGCGCTTGTCTGAATATGTGTCTGTTTTCCCTCTTGACGCGTGCACCACCCCGTGAGCCCCCCCAAAAACGACGTGCACGCCAGTCTACCGTCAGATCCAGGCCCTGTGCCCTCGTCGGGGGAGGCAGGCGATCGCCATCATATGATTAGGTCAGGCGTGTCCCCCTACAGGTGGATCGCGGTCGAAAAATGAACATCCTCGGACGAAAAGTTGAAAAAACACTCACAAGAAAATCTCCAAAGCAGCCAGATATAGTCGAAGCATCGTCCCCTGGGCATGTTGCTGGCTGCGTTCGAGTCTCCCCCTGCAGAGGGACAGGCCCAGCTTCCATCTCCCGGTGCCCGTGCTCACGCCCCGACGCCATCGAGGGGCCAGAGCGACGGCATGCACGTGAACCTGGCCTCGGGGACCACCTCTCCCTATCCATGCCCTGCTGCCCCTGGCGTCAGGTCGGACGTGTCCTCCTACGGCGGGGGATCTTCGAGGACAGATCAGTTAAACAACTACCCCCAGTGCACCCCAAAAAATATCAAAAATTGTCCCGAAATCGTCCCCAGACTATTTTTTGACTACTTTTCGACATTCCTCCTGTAGAAGGGACAGGCCCGACTTAACCCTTGCGCCCAGAGTGGGGGGCAGCAACACGGGTATGGATCGAACATCGATCGCCGAGAAAGGAGAGGGAAGGGAGGAGGCGAGAAGAGCGAGGCGCGGCCATGCCTTCGCGCTCGATTCGCGCCTGGATGACCGTCCCACCTACCAGGCTCCGAACGCCGCCTGCCCCGTGGGCCAAGCTGGAACGGTGTCCACGGCGCAGGTGGCGACGGCGTTCGCTGAGCCGAGGCCTGGACAGGGGCAGAGTCCTACCAGGCACCGTCGGAGATCTCCGAGATCCTGCGGCTCTGGAGGACGCGCCGGGCGCTCTCAGGCCGTCGCAAAGCGCCCCGCAACGCCCCGAGAGCGCCCCCGAACGCTCTGGGACGAGGCATCCCTGTCTCGGGCGCACGCCAACATGTGGATCTGGCGTGCGGGCGCCAGATCCACGGATCGGGAGGGCAGCCCCGAAGCGTGGCACCAGTGCCGCCCGAGTCGCTAATCCACGTGCCTTCATCCACGTTACAATGAAAACGTATAGTAAGGACGCGAGGTAAGGACGCAAGACCCTTGGAGGCCGAAGTTGAAGTCTTCTGGGAGGCAGGCGGCCAAACCCCCAGGGAACCTGAGAAACTGGCCTGCGAAAATTGCTAGGGACGGGCCGCAGAGGCTGAGGCAGGCAAGGACCCAAGGGCACCCTTGAAAAAGTCGTGTGTCCTTACTATGCGCGTTGACTGTAGCGTGTCCTCGACTGTCCTGGCCCCGCCCGGGTCGCCCCTCCGCCCCCCTCGACGCCGCCTTCTTGGCGCCCTTCTTGGTGCCGGACTCCGCAGAGGCGGTCGACGCCTTCAGCGCAGAGGGTGGGCGGAAGGTCGCCGCCGGGCAGCCCCGCGGCGTGTTGGGGTCGGCCTCTGCAGTAACTCATGAGCCTCTCAAACCATCTTCAATCGAAATGAATCGGATCGGCGGACAGCGGCGGCCGAGTCGGAAATAATCCAATCGGCGGAAGTCGGCAGGCTAACACGAAGCCTCAATTAAGAAACCGGAGAATCCCGGTCGGAATCCGAGGCCGTATCGAATCAGAATCAAAATCAAGTCGAATCGACTCGGACGAATCGAAAGGAGCCCCGGGCAGTGACTACTGCTCACCACCGCCCATGACTGAGAAGCCGGAATCCAAGTCGGAATCCGAGGTCGAATCGGACTCGGCATCGGCATCCATCGAAGTCAGGTCCATATCGACTCGGAGGCATCGAAGGTAGCGCCCGAGATAGAGGCCTCCTAGGTAGGGTCAGAGTAGATGTGGTTGGAGGATCGGGCTCCACATCGAGCCGCATCGCCGATGCATCGACGCTACGGCGCGATCCTCCGACCCCGTCTACTCGGACCACAGCCAGGAGGCCTAGACGAGAGCTGCCATGCCCAGGGTCTGGTCCAAGATGTGATGATGATGAGGGGGAGGAGGAGGAGGAGGAGGAGGAGGAGGAGGAGGAGGAGGAGACAAGACAAGACAAGAACCCTGGGATCCATAGAGTGCCCACTGACGCAAGCGCACGATAGTATACACACTTACAGCATGCACACACAATCAAAAGTTTGGATCTGGGTGGCCGTGAATTGGCGGTATCGCTTCTCCGCCCTGCAGGTTGGGAAAACACGGGCCAAAGGGCCGCCCAGGCGGTGCTGACCGCTCGGAGGGGGCCCCTGGCACTGCTCTTCATCCTGCAAGGAGAAACGTCCAAAACTCAGAGTCGAAAGTGAAACTACCTACAAGGGCGGGCCGCGGGCCGTAGACCCCAGGAGAGACGAGGACACGAAGGAAAGAGGGAGGCGGCCACTCAGGCGTGACCTTTGCTACGGCCCTTAGCCCGCCCCTTAGGTTTAGCTCGGGGCTGTGCTACAAATACTCTACCCACATCCTGAGGAATCCCCTGGAGCTGAAATCTGCTCGCATCCTGAGGACAAGTTGAAAGCGAAAAACCTCTCGGGCCCTCACTCCTAGAAACCTGCTCACTAGGCGGTAAAACCCCACGCGCCTGGAGCTCTCGAAATCGTTCACTGCCTGCAAATGCAGGCGGCACAGAGACAGAAGCCCCCCCCTCAGTCGCTTTCACTCCTGATCGCTTGGCCTCTGCACCTCCCCCCCGTCGATTTCCAGCTCCTACTTCTGGTACCGCTCCAGCAGGCGGGCGGCGTCTCTCTCCAACGATCCTTTGGGTGCAGCCCCATGTTTGCGCACTCCCCCACTCGCCTTGAGATATTTCTCGATCGCTGTCTCGAGCTCGCGATACTGGTTGTCGATCGCTAGGGTGACGCGAAACAGCTCGGATTTGTTCTCTACCTTTTTGGTGGGACGAACTCGGCACGCTCGAACTTCGTTGGACAGCTCCTGCACGGGCTTTTTCATGATCACCTGAGTCCAGTACTGCTCTACCAGTGTCTTCACATCTGGCGGACAAGCTGGGCCCGCGCCGATGCCGTGAATCAGCGCGCTCCAAACGTGCAAGAACGGGGGGCCGAGATCCTCTTTCTGGCCCGCTTCGGACATCCTCTGAACTTTGGTATGATATGCCACTCCTGCGGCCTTCGCCGCCTTCACGGCGGGGTTCGTGATGCAAATGAGCCACGTCTGGAACACGACCCCGCACACTTCTCGCAGCTCCGCTGCGCTGCTCAGAGCAAGCCTGGTCAAAATGACGATTAATTGCTTGAGAATCGCTCCCTTCCCTCCTCCACCAGCAGCTTGAGAGGCGTCTTCCACGAGAGATGCTCCATCCACCCGACGTGACTTTGCCCTCGGCTCCTCCCCCTCCAGCATCCAAGCCGGCTTCGCATCCATGGCGCGGCGGAACTTGAGGCACAGTCTCAAGATGCGTGCAAAGGTGTCGCTGCAATTGCTCGAACAGTCCTGCAACATACGGACAGAGTGGACATGCTAGAGCTGACGGTACACGAATTTCAGACAAGTTCCTGGTCGCATCGGAAGCACAAACTCTCCGCCGAAGACTTTGCGATAAATGTCGACGACAGCTCTCACGGTGCGCAAAAACGAGCCCACATACACAACACTGGTTTGACACGGATAGTACATGTGCAAGTTCTTGATATCCATGATGTGCTATGATGTGTGTGTACCGCACGCCTATCCCGAAGTACTCGCCCACAGGCTTCCCCATCAGGATTTAGCAGTTCACAGCGAAACGCCCCTGGATCATCATCACAAGGTATGACTCCTGAAACTTCTTCTGCCTCAAGAAACTCTGGCGGTGGGATCCGAACACCTAGAATGCGAGATCGAAGTTGTCGGGGATCGAGACGATTGAAGGCCTCGCTCATCACAGGGTCCGAGAACGCCAGGAAAATACGATCTCCCAAATCCCCCAGAAAGGCTGCCCCATCATCCAGATCAGCTAAAGCCCGAAAATCTTCTGCAACCTGCTGAGCCCAGGGGGAAGCCCTCGATGTGAGACGCCCTCCATCTAGCACAGGCGCATCACATTCAAAATGTCAAAACAGAGCAGTGATAACTTGTTGATTTGCAAGCGGAGCACGAGCAAGGGACCGCCAGTAGCGCAAGCGACGAATGGTGAGCTCTGCGCCCAACGGCACAAGACGCCACCATTGAAGAACAGCTGCAGAGGTCATGGATCTGGGATGTCCAGGAGCCTCTCGGTCACATGCTTTCCCACCCATCGCCCTTCTAGCGTACCCCGCCACCAGGTTAGTCAACTTAGACAGCTCGGCCTCACTAGGTAAAAAGCCCTCCAGCCCAGATAAAGCAGTATTATATATCTTGGAGATAAGAATGCACCTACGTAGCCGATGTGGAACTCCAGGGACACTCTAGAAGCCTCCGAGAGAATACCAGGCCCTTTGCAAAGCCTTACCCCTGGACTTGAGCTCGGGCCCGAACTTGGTCGCAGACGACGACATGATGAACCCAAGACTCTTGATTTCTAAAGCCGCTTTGCCAGGGAACTCGATGAGCCCATCACGGACCTCCCGAAGATCGCGCCCCGCCCCAGGACCTCTGATAGACAGGAGAGCGTCTTGCTTAGTAAGATTCTGCCGAAACCCACAATCTGCTAGAGCCGCATCCAGCTCCTGGTTGGACCTCACAGACTTATTCACAAGAATCATCGCCGTATGCCCTGCAAGCTTCTTCGTAAGGTCGTCGGCATACTTAGTGAGTGAGAGATCTACCAGCTGACGCGTAATAGGACAGCGAGCCCGCATTAAAGTCGAATGTGGATCCCACTGGTGCTGCATATCACACCAGTTCGAGACAGGCGGCAAAAAAGTTCGCACGAACGTGTTCACTGCAAATCTGTCACCCATGAGGCCGCCGCAGCCTGGGCGCAAAACAACATCCCCATCACTTCCCCGTAGAATAGTTGCAGCACAATCCATGCGCTGTACTCCAAATCCCCTATCTCCCTCCTTGAAAAGATCAGAAGCAGCAGCACGCATACATCTTCGATCGCTGGACGCGAAAGCGTTGGTCAAGTCGTGAGCGTTTGTGATATAAGACAATCCTCGTTGCTCGAGCCACCACCCCGTTGTGTTCTGAACAATCACGGCCCCTTCTCTACGTCGAAACTGAAGAAACCCGTGGTCCTGGGGAGTAGCTTTCAACAAACCCGCCTGTCTCATCAAACCTGCAGCCCACGACTTACCAAACGGGTCGAGCAAGTGAATCCAGCGAGACTTGCCGTCAGGCCGAGGAATAGGTACACCCCGACTCAGGTGCCAGCGCAGAGGAGCAACGTGGCAGTGACGCACAAGAGTGAGACCGCGTAAAAGCAGCTCCTGACCAGAGCTCATATCTGGAACCTCGGCGTTCATCCCGACCCCCTCGCCACGGTGAGACCAAGCCTTATTGGGGAACAAGAGAAGCCACCAGAGCTCCAGCGGAGGACACCATTCGGGAACGGCACGCCGTTTCCCAGCACGATTGATAGCAAACATAATAGACTCTAGATCACGACGAGCGGCAGACACCTCTTGCTCCGAAAAAAGTGGCCCTCTGAGAACCCCTTGAAGTTGTTCCTGCTTCCAGGAATCCCAAGACTCCAGCACGGTGCTCTGCATGCCCCCCTCGTACCCCTTCTTCTGGAATTGTTGTATGAGAGTGGCTTTATCCTCTATCACCCCCCTCACCGCCTGATAATCTCGTTTCTTGGGTCCCCAGCGAGAACCAGCAAGTCGACGAGCCAGTCGGGAAGCCTCAGCAAGCCGTCGGGCGCGCCAATGTTCATTGATTTCAGCTACTAGAGCATTTTGTTGCTGTTCTCGTTCTCGTCGTCGTAATTTCCTGTTCGATTTTGATAACTCTCTAAGCTGTTCAGCTATATGCTCCTCCTCCTCCTCAGTCACCCCCTCAAGTCGTCGTCGAAGTCTAAGCCGTTCTGCTAGAAGAGCCTCCCGAGAATCCCGAAGTTGCTGTCGATGATCACTAACAAACTGCCCTGGAGTAAACACTTGCTTACCTACCTCGATGAGCAACTCATTCATATGATCAAAAAAACTGTCCGCCGTAGGCTGCATCAGGTCAGCCTCAAGCCGGTTGGACTCAGCGCTGAGCCGAGCACGAAGTGATTCCAGAAATTCCCGTCGACGTTCACCACCCCGTACACAGCGCATGATGAGATCAAAGTTCCACTGCGTCTTCTCCTTCTGATCCTCCACAGATCCTGCAGGAGCCAAGACATACGGGAAGACAACATGAACAAGAAGATGATCAGCCGGCCGAGCTTTGGGAATCAATTGGAGATCTCTGCTGATGCCCCGCAAGGGCCCTGCCGCCTTCATTACCTGTACTAAAGGTCGTGGGATACAGATGAAAT